CCCTCCTGTACGCGTTCCAAAAACCCATCAAGGGGAGGCAACTACTTGCAACCAGCCTCCTCCTCCTCCTCCCCGTTTCTTGGCTGGTTTCAAAATGACGACGACGGGGGCTCGGATTTCAGGCCCCAGCAGGGAGCTCTGTGTTGCAAATGTGCGCCCCTCCCCCGCACAGGGACAGCAAGCCCCAAACAGAGGCCACCGAGCAGCAGCGGGGTCCAGGGGTCCCAGGGAGCCCAGGGCAGAGGCTTTGGGGATTCGGTTCCTCCCCGCTGCAGGTCTGGGGTGAGTCCTTTGAGCTACAGAGATAGATAGATCCACACCTAGATAGCAGATAGATCTATAGACAGATCTGTAAATAGATGATAGATCTATAGAGATCAATGCATAAATAGAGAGCAGATAGATCTATAGACAGACAAATATATAGATGCATAGACCCATATAGAGATCTGCAGATAAGATACATAGATTCCTAGAGCAATGGATGGATGCATGGATGCATGGATAGATCCACACATAGAAATTTAGACCTATGCACACATTGATCTATAGATCGATCAATAGATAGATAATTTTTAAATCTCATTTTCTCCCCTTTCATACAATATTTCTGGAAGGAACAGCAGTAGCCTAATATCTGCTCAGATGCAAGGAGGTGCAGCCTAGAAGCCATGGGCTGATCAATCCCCATGGACAGGTGTGCCCCTGCCCAGCCCAGGTGCGCGGCCCACACACCCCCCTCCCCCCCCCACAGGTGAGCTCATCGCAGAGTTGCCTCAGGTCAGAAAAGACAGCCCCCCCCCCGTCCGTTTTTGGTGGGTTGATTTTAGGAGAGCGGAAAAATGGTCCTTTGATTTATCCAACGTGACCCTCTGCAAAAGGAGACCCTTCCTATCCAGGGGTCTAAGCATCTCTTCAAAACCGTCAGTTGGCAAAAATACCCAAAAAGAAAGGAAACAGATTCAAACTGCACGGAAGGCCATTTTTCCCACTTGGTGTATTGTCAAAAGGAAAATGTGACTCAGAAAGAAGACCCTGTGGCTTGGACACCAGCCTGTCCTGTCCTAGTAAATACAGACAGACAGACAGACAGATCTATATGCTTAATGGACACTTGAGTTTCCTATACGGAAATGAACTCTCCTTGCGTTGGGCAAAAAAAAAAAAAGATCATTTTTTTTTTTTCTAACCGGATCCTTTGCTTTCAGTGCAAGAGTCTTGTCCTTAGCAAACAGTAAATCCAGCCAACAAGTGGGATGAGTGGATATTTATGTCCCCAACCGTCCAAGAAGGGTTTGCAATGGAGAGGACCAATGAAAATTAAAGAAGGAGGTGAAACCGAGGTCCTCTGCATGTTTGCTTTTCTGAGAAACCTTTCTCCTTTGGGGTCCAGGGATAAAAAGGACAAGACTGTAAAGAGTTCTTAAAGGCGCGGCCGTGTGCCAACCCACAAGGCCCTCCCGTGACTGTGCACGGGTCCTCCACCAGCTTTCTGCCAATGACTACAAAGGAAAAAGAAAAAAAATGAGTAAAACCTAAACTGAGAAATAAAGAAAAAATAAATAAACCCCACATGCTGATCACCCTCTGCCCACATCTCAGATCAAAAAGCCAGGAGCTTGCAAACATACTCAAGTCGGTTTGCTTTCACTTTTCTAAAAAAAAAAAAAAAAATCCAGAAATCGGCAGCCTCTCCCTGAGGTCGCAAACCCAGAGTTACCACAAATCTCTGCTCTGCTGACAGGTCTGGGGAGGAAGGAGCAGGTGTCCCGGCTTTAGGGCCACACTATTCTATGAAAAAAAAAATACAAAGGAGAGACACCATTTCTCCACCCCAGAATCATCTCTCCAAGCACCTTCGAAACAGCATCTGAGCCCAGCCATTATGAACGAAATGCAATCATCTTTCAACCCATACTCCAAAAAAAAAAAATCATTTCTAGCTTCCAAAAGAAAAATCCCAGCTCTGATTTTTTTAATCCAGTGATTTAAAACTGATGAAGTAATTTTCCACTTGCTACAATTGGCCCTGATTATATTCTTGCATGTTGGAGAAGAGACTGTTACACACACACACACACACACACACAGACACACACACACACACACACATACACACAGAGCCTGCATTTCTTTTGAGTGACAGGACACTGAGCACATGCATATTTGCAGAAGCCTCAGGGGGGGAAATTCTTAGGTCCTGAATGGCAGGAGCAAGAAAAATATTTTTTTTTTTTAAATAAAGCTTTCGTGCAACCCTGCACGTGGGCACCCCCACAGCCCCACACCCCACCCCACCCCCGGTTCTATTCCATGCACCCGGGAGAAAATCTACGCTGGGGATTGGGAGGATTACTGTCAGCGTCTTCCCCGCAGCCAACTCCAGGCATGAACTAATTCTCCACTGGCCAAATCGGCCCCCACGAAAATGCAGATCTGTTCGCCATCTGATGGTCGCAGCTCGCTGTGCCAACCTCCAGGAAAACGCGTCTCCATTCAGACCATGCGGCTGCGCGCTCTCTCTCTCTCTCTCTCTCTCTCTCTCTCTCTCTCTCTCTCTCTCTCTCTCTCTCTGCAAGGCCCCGGAGCTGGGCGGTGTGCGTGCGCGCAGGGTGGCCCACAGAGGGGTCTGCACGTCCCTCTCCCTTCCCCCGCGCAGGACGCCCACCCCAATGGCTCATTGTGCTTCCTGGGGGTAAAGAGGTCTCTCTCAACTTTTTTTCTTTTTCCTTTTTTTTTTTTTTCC